AGTCTGAACACTGACAGAGATTTGGAAATATAGTATAGTGGGGTCCGAAATTATTGACACTTGATAAAGATAAGCAAAAAATAATAATAGAAATACTGATCTACACTGAGTATACCAAACATTAGGAATACCTTCCTAATATTGAGTTGCAGCCTACCCCCTCCCCCCTTTTGCCCTCAGAACAGACTCAATTCGTTGGGGCATGGACACTACAAGGTGTCGAGTGTTCCACAGGGATGCTGGCCCATGTTGACTGGATGTCCTTTGGGCGGTGGACCATTCTTGATACTCACGGAAAACGGTTGAGCGTGAACAACCCAGCAGCGTTGCAGTTCTTGACACAAACCGGTACACCTGGCACCTACTACCATACCCCGTTCAAAGGCACTTCAATCTGTTGTCTTGACCATTCACCCTCTAAATGGCACACATACACAATCCATGTCCCATTTGTCTCAAGGCTTAAAAATCCTTCTTTCATGTCTCCTCCCCTTCATCCATCACTTGGATTCACCTGGTTAGTCTGTCATGGAAAGAGCAGGTGTTCTTAATGTTTTGTATACTCAGTGTATATGTATGCTAAAAATATGGGAAATTACTTTATACTAATACAATTACTCAGAGAAAGGGGGATGTTGTTTAAAGGAGAATTGTACCCGCTAATTTGGCCTCGTTATTTTTTGCCTTATCCTCAAGAAATTCCAGCTGCTATGACAGAAGCCAAACGTGAGTTGGCTTGGGGTTGTGGTTTGATGTGGGTGTTTCTTGGGTGTCCTTGCCAAGAAAGGTGAATGCAGAACCTAGCCCGCAGCTGTTTCCCCCCCACTCAATCACAACAAACCAACCTGCAGGTTGAGTTCAATAACTACAGGCAGATGTATGGTAAGATGTCAGAGGAAGCTTTGCATAGGTCAGTAGCCTACAAGGTAATATAAGAAGAATGCAATTTATGAGTTTATGTAGATATTCTAAACTAAGTGTTTTGACAACTTTCAAATGTAGTAACAGATCGAGAATAAACCCTTTACATCACGTGTAAAACTCATTCCACAGAGGGCTGAGTGTCTGTGGGTTTTCGCTCCTCCCTTGTACTTGATTGATGAATTAAGGTCAGTCAATTAGTAAAGCACTCCACTCACCTGGTTGTCTAGGAACAAAACTAAAACCCAGAGACACTAGGTCCTCCATGGAATGAGTTTGACACCCCTGCTTTACATAACATAAAAGCAGTGTTCTGCTAATATAACAATGTGCATTTTGTCTGGTGGTAATTGGGCTATGTTGGCAAAGATGTCAGAGTGGTCATACCTTCCAGTGTGGTGTCTTGTATACAACAGGAGTTTCCTGATCTAGTTGCGGAATACACAGGGTTTCTCCCTCCCCATATTTACTGATACCATTCAATTCAATTTTATAAAAACACATTACAAGTAAAAGTTGTGTCTAGTAAAATTTTAATGCCGAGTGCCAGGTTCCTCTCCATTTAGAGACATCAAAGTATGAGTCTGGACTTCATCACATCATCTTGCAGGTCTCCATGTGCTGGCTCCATACATGTTTCTGTGAACACATACACACATAGTCTGCAATCTGTAGAAATAGGCAGAGTTCATCAGTGACACATGGAATGAAAAGGGTGTTGCAAATACTGGACATTTCTGCTGTACTGAATTATTAGTCACCTCCAGTCCCACATTGTGGATGTGTTGAGTGCCAGGTCTCTCTCCATTCAGAGACATCAGTATGAATCCTGTCTGTCGATCAGGATCCATCACATCATCTTGCAAGTCTCCATGTGCTGGCTCCATACATGTTTCTGTGAACACATACACACATAGTCACTGTTCTATTACCAATGGCAGTTAGGATAGGTGATATCTGTCAAACAAACATATACTATGTTGAAGTTTGAACAGGTCAGACTAAACCTACCTAATTCTGGTCTCCCCATCGACGACCGTTGGTGAGCAGGCAAGAGGTAAGGCTGGTGGTGGGGTCTTTGCCAGCGCCCAATTGATGGGCATGGCAGTGTAGATCAGCTCCTGGCCTCAAAGATACTGGTCGGTCACACACAAACACAGAGCACTGATTACATGATCAATGGTGGTTATGAGTAGCATGGTGGAACCAACCTGATAGCTGCATTCACCTTTCTATTTCACTTTAGATATCATGATATGTGAAGTGAAATAGAATGGTAAACGCAGAGATCAGGCTGGTTCCCCCAGGCTAGGTTATGAAGGTGAATTGGGACAAAACTCAAAACTGTTTTCACCAACCTTATTCAAGTGTCCGCCCTATTCCATTTATAGGAATGCTCACAGCGAGGGCATGTCTGCATGCAAGGTCCCCTTGCTGGTCTTCTCTATGTTGCATGTTTGGCGGCAAACTGGAAATCTCTTGAACAACTGCAGCCTGCAATCCTCATAAACAATGTACTTCATCATATGAAGTGGTGTTGACTGGGAGGGCCTGTGACAGGGTGATACAACAGACAGCCAAGTGGTAAATTGCATTTTGTTATAAAGAAAACACAAAGCTTTTTGATAATGCACTTCACAACCAAAATGACAACTACTTGTATCTGCTTGGCTGGATAATGAACCTACTAGTTTATCAAACCGGGTTTTTATTTTATTTTTTATACAACTTTTTACATAACACACATTACCGTTGTCGATGAAGCCGTCTGTGTCATCAGGGCAGTAACTCTGGTCAAAATAATTATAGGTAGTCACTAATTACCACAGCAACAAAATCATAAAGGCTGCCCATTTCTACAATTTCTTCTTAAAATGTGATTTTAAACATAACCCTAACCACACTGCTAACCTTATGCCTAACCCGGCCTAAACTTAAATCAAGACCAAAAAGCTCATGTTTGTTTTCATGAATTTTTACGATATAGCCAATTTTGTCTTTGGGGATGTGGTAACTAGTGGAAACCCAAATTATATGATTTTCAGACTGTAACTCCAGATTGGATTAGATTAAGGCCAGTGACGCCGTTACGGGTATTTGCTCCTAGTTCACAGTATTAGTCTGAGGTAGACATTAGTTAACTACCACCATAGCTGCATCCATTATTTTGTCTTGCCCTAGACAATACACTAGAATGAGCTACGAACTCATTTGCAAATTCAACTTGTAGGCTAACGCGACGCTAGTTTTAACAAATGATAACCAGCAGTATCTAGACAGTACACTCATATGAGCTACGACCTAACTAAATTGTAGAGGTAGCTAGCTAGTTAGCTACGCTAACATGAGCTAAAACGTTAACTAGACTGCCTCGCTTTATCAAAAGATAGCTACCTAGATACATAACCAGCAATAACGTTATCTAACGTCGTTAGCTAAATTATACCAGAGAGCCCATTATATTCCAGTATCTCTGGTTATACTCACCACCACCGGTCGTTGCACACCAAGCTAGCGTTACTGGTGCAGACAGTTGGGGACAGACGAACTCCAAGCACCTATTCCGACCGCATGCTAGGGTCCTTCCGCAGGGCATGCAAACCATAGAACTTTGGCTGTGGAGGTATGGTCAATCCGTATAGGCCACGTGATCCTTTGAACGCGTTGGGGGCGATGAAACCCCATTCAATGAAGGGAAGCAAAGTGGGCGAAGGGACGATTTGCACGTGTAGCTTGGCAAAGGGGGGAATGATTTGTTGACATAATTGTAATCCAAACCCAACCTTCATTTATTCGTTGTGACGCACTGAGGTTCCAAACTCTGTTTTAGACGAGACTGACTTTATAACCTAAATTGTCCTATTTACACGTTGTTGACAATTTTGACACTATAATAAATGTTTCTGACTCATATCGATGCCACATAGGCCGTTTTCAAAGGGATTGGTTGCTTTTTAGGGACAGTCGCTCGTTAACAAGTATTTTTTTCTCTCAAAAAGGTAGGGGTGACAATTATTGACACCTCTGTTTTCAAGACCCTTTCAATACCTCACCTTGCGAGGATAACGGCACTGAGCCCAATGTGTTCTCCAACTCATAAAACATTTTAGAAAAAGGGTGTCAATAATTCCTGCAGTCAGCATGCCAATTGCATGCTCCCTCAAAACTTGAGACATCTGTGGCATTGTGTTGTATGACAAAACTGCACATTTTAGAGTGGCCTTTTATTGTCCCTAGCACAAGGTGCACCTGTGTAATGATCATGCAATTTTTTACTTTTTCTCCCCAATTTCGTGATTACGATCTTGTCTCATCGCTGCAACTCCCCAACGGGCTCTGGAGAGGCGAAGGTCGAGTCATGTGTCCTCCGAAACATGACCCGCCAAGCCGCGCTTCTTAACACCCGCCTGCTTAACCCGGAAGCCAGCTGCACCAATGTGTCGGAGGAAACACCGTTCAACTGACGACCGAAGTCAGCCTGCAGGTGCCCGGCCCACCACAAGAAGTCGCTAGAGCACGATGAGCCAAGTAAAGGCCCCCCGGCCAAACCCTCCCCTAACCCGATGACGCTGGGCCAATTGTGCGCCGCCCTATGGGACTCCCAGTCACGATCGGTAATGACACAGCCTGAGATTGAACCACAGGCTGTAGTGACGCCGCAATGCTGCGATGCAGTGCCTTAGACCGCTGCGCCACTCAGGAGGCCCATGATCATGCTGTTTAATCAGCTTCTTGACATGCCACACCTGTCAGGTGGATGGATTATCTTGGCAATGGATACATTTTCACTAACAGGGATGTAAACAAATTTGTGCACAGAATTTGTGAGAAATAAGCTTTTTGTGCATATGGAACATTTCTGGGATCTTTTATTTCATCTCATGAAACATGGGACCAACACTTTACATGTTGCGTTTATATTTTTGTTCAGTATAGCTCAGTATTTGAATTATTAATTATATACAGTCATTTTTGCTAATCTTTATCGAGTTTGTCAATAGTTTCGGACCCTACTGTATATTGTATATATAGCCTGCATATTGAATATAGGTTCTAACATGAGTTTCAACTTCAGTTGCTTATCTACATGCAGTGTCTGGTAAGGACTCTGGCCTCCTCGGGCTGAAATACCTGTATATTGGGTCCATGAAGAAGGACGAGGGCTTGGCGTAATGCAGGGAGGGCTGCTGCGGCTGGGGCGGCTGGCCCTGGGGGTGCTGGGTGTGTGGGTGCGGGTGTCTGCCGGGGTGCTCCTCCTTGTGATGGTTCTTGCGGCTGGACGGCTGCTCAGGGGCCACCACCCCGTTGTGCCCATCCCGTCTGCGGCTGCCGATGCTCAGGTCCAGCGGCTGCTCCTCATCCCCTGGGAGAATGAGGGGGGGGTTGCTGCTACCGCTGGGTGGGGTCGGCATGGCGGGGGGCGGCGGTGTCGGCTTGGCCTTCTTGGGCTTGGTGGTGAGGTCGAAGGGTGTTGGCTCTCCGGTGCGAGGGGCAGCCATTTTGTGGGGTGGCGGATGTTGCACATGAGGTGACTTGGGCTCAGACTTGAAGAACATGCCAGGGTTGAGGGCACCGGCCCGCTCGGCGAAGGGGTAGAGGGAGTGAGGGAAGTTGGGTAGGAACTGGAAGGGGAACATGGAATGGCAGGGCAGCGAGCCCATCTTCTTCTCTTGCAGGCCCATGAGACCAGGGCCAAAGTACTTCTCGGCGATGGAAGCGATGGCCTTGATGGAGTCGGTGGCAGTGGTGCCTCTTGTGGGGGGCAGCGCCTGCTCATCCGGAGGTGGAAAGAAGGAGTGCTGGGAGGCGACCGAGAGGAAGGAGGGCCGCTCGCAAGCCAGGTTGACCGAGCTGGACACCGCCGACACTGAGCCGCTGCTCACGTCATCCGGCCGCCAATCCTGACCCGCACTTTCTGTCCCCCCCGCCCCTCCAACGCCCGCCTCCTTCCTTCTCTTGGTGCCGCTGAGCCGCTCCCGTTGTTCCCGCTCGCTCTCGGCGTCGCTGTCTAAGTCTGAACCCGAGGCGGTGCCGGTGGTGGTGTCCAGGTCGGTGCCGCTGGTGGTGTTGACGTCCTCCAGGTCGCTGCCGTCCGACACCTCCGACATCTTGGCTTTGGCCTTGACCTCGCTGTACGCCAGCTCCAGCCTCTCTTTGTCCTCCCTCTCCTGGCTGCTGAGGAGACTATCTCCTCCATTGTTGTTGTTGTTGATGATGGAGTTGATCAGAGACAGTGGAGGACCGTCCAGGGGGCTGTGGGGCAGCTTGCCCTCCTGGCTCCCACCGTTGTTACTGTTGTTGCCCAGGGGGCTCTTCAGAAGTGGGCTGGGGGGCAGTGAGGGCGGCCGAGGGTAGAGCGAGGGGGCGAAGAGGCCTGGGAAGCCATGGGAGAGCGAGGGGAAGCCATGCGGCCCGGGGGAGAAGGGCAGGCTGGCGTGAAGGTGGGGCCGGGAGGGGAAGTAGTCAGGGAAGGCCAGACCCGAGTGGTTGAGGCCCGGTTGGTGGTGGTGGGGGTGGGACCTGGCCAGGATCGAGCTGCTCATGGGGATGCCGGGAGCGAACAGGACCCCGGTAGGGCCATAATGGTTCTTGCCCTCACAGAAGCGCCGGTGCTTGTTGAGGGAGGAAGTAGTGCTGAACATCTGGCCACATTCCTTGCACTTGATCTTGGTGCGGCAGTCGGCGTGCATGCGCTTGTGGCGGCACAGGTTGGAGAACTGCGTGTAGGACTTGTGGCACACCTCGCCTGGGGAGACACACAGCCCACACGGGCCTGGTTAAGCCCATTTAAACACTGTCACTAACTCAGAGTACAAAGTCAACAGTTAACACAGATACAACACTAGGCTACTTAGAAATAATATACACAGTGTACAAACCATTAAGATCACCTTCCTAATTTTGAGTTGCACCCCCCCCACCCACCTACCTACTACCATACACCGTTCAAAGGCACTTAAATCTTTTGTCTTGCCCATTCACACTCTGAATGGCACACATACACAATCAATGTCTCAATTGTCTCATATTTTTTTTACCTGTCTGCTCCCCTTCATCTACACTGATTGAAGGTGACATCAATAAGGGATCATAGCTTTCACCTGGATTCACCTGGTCAGTGTATGTCATGGAAAAAGCAGGTGTTCTTAATGTTCGTACACTCAGTATACATGTACATTCTGCCTTTTTGTCTAAAGGCTGTATCTATACAAATCGCAAATCGTGCATGCTTTTGGTGAAACCCAGTGTCAACATTTTATTAACCATTGAATCACTATGACTGGCAAAATAACTACCATATGTCCACAGTGGGCAACCTACGGTTAAGCTGATCATTTTCACCATATGTTCTATAAAGTGTTGCTTGAATACATACTGTACATATACACTACCAGTCAAAAGTTTGGACACACCTTCTCAAGCAGCCAACAAGTGCTCAGCATATGTGGGAACTCCTTCAAGACTGTTGGAAAAGCATTCCAGGTTAAGCTTGTTGAGAGAATGCCAAGAGTGTGCAAAGCTGTCATCAAGACAAAGGGTGGCTATTTGAAGATTCTCAAATATATTTGATTTGTTTAACACTTTTTTGGTTACTACATGATTCCATATGTGATATTTCATAGTTTTGATGTCTTAACTATTATTCTACAATGTAGAAAATAGAAAAAATAAAGAAAAACCCTGGAATGAGTAGGTGTGTCCAAAATTTTGACTGGTACTGTACATGTATATAAGCATATACACACATACGCACACATGGGTGCAAACAGAAAAGCAAAGCAGAAAGTTGAGAGCGTGAAGACAAGGTAAGGTATCATGGCTTCCAGCATCCTTTAGCGGGGAGCTGAAGCAGATACTGTTGATCCACGTTTATATCAAATCTGCCCGTGCCTACGAAAAACCCATTTTACCCACCTCAGAAGGAAAAAATCTTTGTCATTGCAAGTGCACCCTCTATCCACACAGGAAAGAAGTAAAACAAACAAAAAAAGGAACACACAAAGTAGCACTTCTTTTAAAGTCCCACTAAAGATGCCCAACAAATCAGTAACATATCAGCTGCAGAGGGACCATAGAGTTGGAAAGAGGGCCCACTTCCTATCTTTATCATTGCAAATGCACCCTCTATCCAACTTAATGAGCTGGACTATCAAAATAAAGTGTTATCCATACAACAAAAAGAGGAGGAGAGGCACTGAGGGGGGAATGGGGGAGGATAACAAAAACAAGAAAAAAGGCGGGAAAAATAGAAAACAAAATGGCGGCTGAAGAAGGGATGGGGTCATGGAATTGTCTCTGACCTATGGGATTGTGTCTGCTACTGTCACTGGCCCTGCCTGGGGTTGGAGAGAGATGGAGGGAGGAGGAAGAGGAGGAGGATGAGGAGGAAGCCTTTGGACACGGGGAGGTAGAACTAGATGTGGGTTGGCTAGGCCATGTCGGCTTGGGTTGCAGAGACTGAGACTTACAGATGAAGGGCTTGACACTGCTGTGAATGTGCTTGTGCTGCTTTAGGCCTGAGGAGGTGGCGAAGGTTTTGCCACACTCGGGGCAGGTGTGAGCGCGCGCCCCTACGTGCTGCGAGCGGATGTGGCGCTGCAGGTTGCTGGGGTCCGTGAACACCTGTGGTGTAGGGGGGTGGCAGAGACATTTACATTGACACACACACACACACACACACACACATACACACACACACACACACACACACGCATACACACAAATATATAAAACAATTATGGTCAGCAATCGCAGTCATCCGATCACTGTGTGTTGACGCTTAAAAAAAATATATACTACTGATTAAAAAAGCTTATACTGGAATAATAGACAACACAAAATCTGACGATCGAACTCAGTCTATGCCAGCTTCCCATGAATGGCCTTTGTGATGGTGGTTACAGTCACCAACAACTAACTTTATGGCCAGTAGTGCTGAGCAATTACTTTTTTGGGGGGTTATTAAACAACTAATTGACCGACGTAGGTCAAATTCCTTGAATTCCATTTAGTTTGTTTTTGTTGTCTAGAGAGAAATCAAATAATTCACGAGAGAAGTCAAGAACTATATGTGGGACGCTGTGCTGAAGATAGTTGTAGTTTTCATTAAGCCAAATATTGAACCTATTTCAGCGCAGAAACATGGTAATTAACTACAATGACCATAATTCATTGCGTCAATTTTTTCTGGCTCAAACAAGAGGCGGGTCAGAGAGGAAGAGGCGAAGTGAGAGGTTTCACTCTCGCCAAAATCTGTCCAAAATAAGCCCAATGCGTTTCTATGGGCTTATTTTGGACCTAAACCTTCTTCCCGCCTTTGGGACAATGACTCTATTGTTAGGGCGAAGACATGAGCATCTCGTCATACGCCATCAACATTAGGCTAGATACACACAGATTGCATAGACCGCATGAGAGCGGAATGTACATAACACAACGACGAGAGGGACAGAGACAGTTCGCGAAAGTATGCCTGAACAAAAATATAATTTAAATGCAACATGACCTCATGTTTCAGCATGATAATGCACGGCCCCATGTTGCAAAGATCTGCAATCAATTCCTGGAAGCTGAACATTTTGTATACTCACCAGACATGTCACCCATTGAGCATGTTTGGGATGCTCTGGATGGACGTGTACGACAGCGTGTTACAGTTCCTGCCAATATCCAGTAACTTCGCACAGCTATCGAAGAGTACAGGCCATAATCAACAGCCTAATCAACTCTATGTGAAGGAGATGCGTCGTGCTGCATGAGGCAAATGGTGGTCACACCAGATACTGACTGGCTTTCTGATCCACGCCCCTACCTTTTTTTTAAGGTATCTGTGACCAACAGATGCATACCTGTATTCCCAGTCATATGAAATCCATAGATTAGGGCCTATTGAATTTATTTCAATTGACTGATTTCCTTATATGAACTGTAACTCAGTAACATCTTTGACATTGTTACATGTTGCGTTTCTATTTTTGTTCAGTGCACTTTGAAAAACTAGTAAAATGATTTTGTCAAACAGCTAGGCTAGCTAAATGGATGACGAAAGACAGAACACAGTATGGGGGTATTCTGCCTTCTATTCTTTTGGCCAAGCGCCTTTTGATTTGGCGCCGTCCTGTGGCTGTTTTGTGTAGCCGCAGCTAGCATGGACTATGCTGTGCTACTTCTTTGTTGGTGGTAAACAGGAAATAGAAAAGTATGCAGTTCAGCCTCATTATTGGAAAAGAGCAGCATAATACTGCTGTTTATCTTCTGCCATCCTTCTTGTTAAGCCTTCTTAAAGCATTGCCTGTAAGAAGGGGCACAACTTCCCACATTCTGAAATGGCATTTTTGTCCCCCCTAGTTTTATCATTGGAATGTGATACAAAACGAGGACGGTGTGCTTTAGGACCACGCAGACGCCTCCGAGCGGTTAGGTAGGCTGTTTGGAGTGTTTATCCGACTGGATAAAATAAAATACAAAAACGCGCCGCCGCAACCTTCGCTCTCTCTCTCCCACTACTCTCTCCTCTTCCATCCTATCATCTCTTCCCTCTGCTCAATCCTTCTCCCTCCAATCTCCTGATTCTGCCTCCTCAACCCTCCTCTCCTCCCTTTCTGCATCCTTTGACTCCCTGTGTCCCCTATCCTCCCGGCCGGCTCGGTCCTCCCCTCCAGCTCCGTGGCTTGATGACTCATTGCGAGCTCACAGAACAGAGCTCCGGGCAGCTGAGCGGAAATGGAAGAAAACTAAACTCCCTGCCGACCTGGCATCTTTTCACTCCCTCCTCTCTACATTTTCTTCATCTGTTTCTGCTGCTAAGGCCACTTTCTACCACTCTAAATTCCAAGCATCTGCCTCTAACCCTAGGAAGCTCTTTGCCACATTCTCCTCACTGCTGAATCCTCCCCCCCACCCCCCCCCCTCCTCCCTCTCTGTGGATGACTTCGTCAACCACTTTGAAAAGAAGGTTGACGACATCCGATCCTCGTTTGTTATGTCTAATGACACTGCTGGTCCTGCTCACACTGCCCTACCCTATGCTTTGACTTCTTTCTCCCCTCTCTCTCCAGATAAAATATTGCGACTAGTGACTGCAGGCCGCCCAACAACCTGCCCGCTTGACCCCATCCCCTCCTCTCTTCTCCAGACCATCTCCGGTGACCTTCTCCCCTACCTCACCTCGCTGATCAACTCATCCTTGACCGCTGGCTATGTCCCTTCCGTCTTCAAGAGAGCGAGAGTTGCTCCCCTTCTCAAAAAACCAACACTCGATCCCACTGATGTCAACAACTACAGACCAGTATCCCTTCTTTCTTTTCTTTCCAAAACTATTGAGCGTGCCATCTTTAGCCAACTCTCTTGCTATCTCTCTCAGAATGACCTTCTTGATCCAAACCAGTCAGGTTTCAGGACTGGTCATTCAACTGAGACTGCTCTTCTCTGTGTCACGGAGGCTCTCCGCACTGCTAAAGCTAACTCTCTCTCCTCTGCTCTTGTCCTTCTAGACCTGTCTGCTGCCTTTGATACTGTGAACCATCAGATCCTCCTCTCCACCCTCTCCGAGCTGGGCATCTCCGGCGCGGCTCACTCCTGGATTGCGTCCTACCTGACCGGTCGCTCCTACCAAGTGGCGTGGCGAGAAGCTGTCTCCGCACCACGTGCTCTCACCACTGGTGTCCCCCAGGGCTCAGTTCTAGGCCCTCTCCTTTTCTCCCTATACACCAAGTCACTTGGCTCTGTCATATCCTCACATGGCCTCTCCTATCATTGCTACGCTGACGATACACAACTAATCTTCTCCTTTCCCCCTTCTGATAACCAGGTGGCGAATCGCATCTCTGCATGTCTGGCAGACATATCAGTATGGATGACGGATCACCACCTCAAGCTGAACCCTGGCAAGACGGAGCTGCTCTTCCTCCCGGGGAAGGACTGCCCGTTCCATGATCTCGCCATCACGGTTGACAACTCCGTTGTGTCCTCCTCCCAGAGTGCGAAGAGCCTTGGCGTGACCCTGGACAACACCCTGTCGTTCTCCGCTAACATCAAGGCGGTGACCCGATCCTGCAGGTTCATGCTCTACAACATTCGGAGAGTACGACCCTGCCTTACACAGGAAGCGGTACAGGTCCTAATTCAGGCACTTGTCATCTCCCGTCTGGATTACTGCAACTCGCTGTTGGCTGGGCTCCCTGCCTGTGCCATTAAACCCCTACAACTCATCCAGAATGCCGCAGCCCGTCTGGTGTTCAACCTTCCCAAGTTCTCTCACGTCACCCCCCTCCTCCGCACACTCCACTGGCTTCCAGTTGAAGCTCGCATCCGTTACAAGACCATGGTGCTTGCCTATGGAGCAGTGAGGGGAACGGCACCTCCGTACCTTCAGGCTCTGATCAGTCCCTACACCCAAACGAGGGCATTGCGTTCATCCACCTCTGGCCTGCTGGCTCCCCTTCCTCTGCGGAAGCATAGTTCCCGCTCAGCCCAGTCAAAACTGTTCGCTGCTCTGGCACCCCAATGGTGGAACAAGCTCCCTCACGACGCCAGGACAGCGGAGTCACTCACCACCTTCCGGAGACATTTGAAACCCCACCTCTTTAAGGAATACCTGGGATAAGATAAAGTAATCCTTCTACCCCCCCCCAAAAAATAAAATAAATAAATAAATAAATACAATTGTAAAGTGGTTATCCCACTGGCTATAGGGTGAATGCACCAATTTGTAAGTCGCTCTGGATAAGAGCGTCTGCTAAATGACGTAAATGTAAATGTAAAAATATGTCCCCCCCACTTCTAGTTGCGCCCCTGCCCATAAGTACAAATAATAAGATGTTCATCTTTTAGTATTATAAGTATTTCTTGCAGGTCATGTTTTAATTCTGAGTTTTTAAGTAAATCGATTACATGTATTCCCTCGCTAGCCTAGTCTGCCTGTTAAGTGATGTTTTGCAGGTAGCTTCTCTCTACATGTTATTTATCTTCCCACTTAAGTTAGCTTACATGTTATTTAGATACTAATCCTGTTTAGAACAATATTCAAGCAGGATACGTACGTTTTCTATGTACAGTGTTGGTCAAGTATTGTATTGTTCACTATTCGACTATGAAACATCGGTTAGACTCTGTTGTGCATTAATATTGCCTTTTAGTCTGAGCTGCTCCAATAATTTCATTTTTTTGTATTGTTACAGTTTCACACTGTTTCAACTATAAAACTGGAGGTTTATGGAAAGCCTATCCCCGACTCTGGTTCAGTTCTTGATTGGATTTTGGCTGGCTGTCAAATTATGGTTGCATACACCTTAAGGAGGACAGTACAGGGAGAACATAGATAACTGGCTGGCTGACTGCTATTGCCTGAGCAGAGATGAGATGATGACTTTAAGGAATGAAAATGAATAAAGTCGTAAAATAAAAACGAATATACACAACTGAAATATTTTATTATTTCATAGTAATTTCAAACATTTATATTGATGTCTACCCAATGTGGACCTGACAGGTACAATGGAAGAATTTTTAATATTTTGGCTATTGAATGTTCACTATTTTTGGCTTTAGAATTTCCATTAAAAAGCTCTGAAATCATTGTAATGTCATTATTTTATAATGTAATTCATGTTTACAAAAATTATCAAAACCGAAATGCAGGATTTTTTTCTTCTAATCGAACCGGAACCGAACCGACCTCAAAAAGCACTAACCACTCAGCACTAATGGCCAGACATCCAGTAAGCTGAATAAACTGCAAGTAACAACATTTTCAAGTCATAGCATAAACCGACATGATTAAGTTGGTACTAAATTGCATTTATGGTTGCGTTACACTAACTTAATCACGAAATCGTATGGTTAAAATCATATTTTCTACGTACATACAGGATTCATTTTCTCCCCAGTCAATTCGCTACTGTGGCTAGTATCAGCATTCACCAAGGTAGCGAAAGAAACCTGTGTTTTTGCGCACAACTTACGTGCCGGGTGTGCTGTACCTTATCGCAGTTTTCACACTCGAAGCGCTTGCCGCTGTCGTGGGACATCTGGTGGCGAATGAGGTTGGACTTCCAGTTGAAGGCCTTGGGACACTGGTCACACTTGTACTCCCGCTCCTCTGTGTGCACGATCATGTGCTGGCCCAGACTGGACAAGGAGCACAGACATACGACACATACGCAGTCATTTAGGATAATGATGATGATGATGATGCTCTTCAAATCATTAGTGTAGAGGTAAATGTACCACTGTGTGTGTCCGTGCGTGCTCGCTTATGTGCGTGTGTGTGCTGCACCTGTACTCGTTGGGGAAGATCTTCTCGCAATCCTTGCACTCGTGGACGGGTTCGTGGTCGCTGTCGTCACGCTCCTGCTTGAAGTCCTCTTTGCTGAGAGTGTTGAACAGGGAACCGGCACTGGAACAAGAGTACTTCTGGTGCCGCTGCAGCTCCAGGGGCGAGGTGAACAGCTCGTCACAGTCCTCACAGCGGTACATCTGCTCGTCTGTGAAATGATACAATTGGACTATTTATTTGTCCCAACTGTTTTATCGGAAATGTCTCTTTTGCACAAATGGACAACACACACTTGTGAGTAGCCTATAGGTTAGATAAGCTCCCTCTACATGCGCGCACACACACACACACACACACACACACACACACACACACACACACACACACACACACACACACCACACACACACACACACACCACACACACACACACACACACACACACACACACACACACACACACACACACACACACACACACACACACACACACACAGTAAAGGTAAAAGACTGAGCAGGATAACTACATAGCTCCCCAGCCAACATCCATCTGTGATCCCAAACTGAACACACAATCATAAACAGGAATGAGCACCAGAAATATCTCGCATTCAAACGTAGAAAAAAATCGATCTACGAGTGTATACCTCTCACTCTCCTGTCCAAACTAATCAAGTGCATGTTCAAACGCTTAAAACAACCACTCTCCCATTAGCATTGACATAAAACATAAAAAAATCAATTAACAAGAAAATGTAGCCTGGGCTAGTCGGCTTTACACCTTAATTAACACATAGCTGATTACTTTTAGTCCAGTGGTGGCGGCTGTTCGGTGGCTTTAGGCTATAGCACGTAAAGGAAGCAATAGGCTACACATTTGTCATTCTTTTCCAGGTCGATAGCCTTTGAAATACTTTTCCCAACCGAGGTCAAAACAATTAAAAACTGTGAGGCAGGGGTTTTCAATGGCGGCACAGAGAGGGAAAACATTTGTTCACTTTTGCAGACAGCTATAGCTAATAATAAGATAGCTAGTAACTACTAGCTTCCTTAAGTTTTGGTAGCAGCGTGCTGAATATTTACATTTAGCTAAGCTTTGATCAGTATGGATATCCAAAAATGGCTGGGCACTGCCAAGAGCAAAAAAAAACGGAGGACCACCATGTCGAGAGCGATGCCAAGCTCACCGACCACCGAGGTTGAGGAGCCTAGCAGCAAATGTAATACCTGCCCATCCCCCAAACCGCATGCTGACCAACAAGATCGAGAAGAGCCAGGGCCTAGCACCAGCAGCACGAGGGTAACATCACAACAAGAACCTGCACCTCCGTTACCACAGCCACTAGCACCTGACAACCTTTTGTATCTAACCAAAACGGAACCAGTGAAATCGCAACAACCACAAGTGAAATCGCAACAAACACCCCACTCAGTGTTCTTCAAAGATATGGCAGGTCTTTGTCAGCAACTGTGCTGTTGGCACTAAAACATGATTCACATTTTTGGGGCATCTACAGCAATGTGATGTAGATACCCTGAAGAATGTATTCTGTGTACACAGACTATGAACACAGAGCATTTTACATCAACAAAAAGCCCAGCTTGTCCAGCTGGCATTTGAGAAGGACCTGACAAGTACATTTTGCCAGGAAGGAGAATGGAATCAGAAAGTTCTCATGAGGTTCACCACAGCATCGAGGAGGCTGCAACTCTTCTAAATGGTAAGCTACAAACTTTATGGCCCTGGCCGCAGGGCCAGAACTATTTATTTATTGGTTTTCCCTCATGCAGATGCTAAGCTACAGGACTGTTTTGTTAGCACAGACTGGAATATGTTCCGGGATTCTTCCGATGGCATTGAGGAGTGCACCACATCAGTCACTGGCTTCATCAATAAGTGCATCGATGACGTCGTCCCCACAGTGACTGTTCGTACATAACCCAACCAGAAGCCATGGATTACAGGCAACATCCGCACTGAGCTAAAGGGTAGAGCTGCCGCTTTCAAGGAGCGGGACTCTAACCCGGAAGCTTATAAGAAATCCCGCTATGCCCTCCGACGAACCATCAAACAGGCAACAATACAGTACTAAGATCGAATCGTACTACACCGGCTCTGATGCTCGTCAAATGTGGCAGGGCTTGCAAACTATTACAGACTACAAAGGGAAGCACAGCCGCAAGCTGCCCAGTGACATGAGCCTACCAGACGAGATAAATTACTTCTATGCTCGCTTAGAGGCAAGTAACACTGAAACATGCATGAGAGCATCAGCTGTTCCGGACGACTGTGTGATCACGCTCTCCGTAGCCGATGTGAGTAAGACCTTTAAACAGGTCAACATTCACAAGGATGCAGGGGCAGACGGATTACCAGGACGTGTACTCCGAGAATGCGCTGACCAACTTGCAAGTGTCTTCACTGACATTTTCAACCTCTCCCTGTCTGAGTCTGTAATACCAACATGTTTCAAGCAGACATCCATAGTCCCTGTGCCCAAGAACACTAAGGTAACCTGCCAAAATGACTACCAACCCGTAGCACTCACGTCTGTAGCCATGAAGTGCTTTGAAAGGCTGGTCATGGCTCAAATCAACACCATTATCCCAGAAACCCTAGACCCATTCCAATTTGCATACCGCCCCAACAGATCCACAGATGATGCAATCTCTATTGCGCTCCACACTGCCCTTTCACACCTGGACAAAAGGAACACCTATGTGAGAATGCTATTCATTGACTACAGCTCAGTGTTCAACACCATAGGGCTCATAGAGCTCATCACTAAGCTAAGGACCCTGGGACTGAACACCTCCCTCTGCAACTGGATCCTGAATTCCTGACGGGCTGCCCCTAGGTGGTAAGGGTAGGTAACAACACATCCGCCACACTGATCCTCAACACAGGGGCCCCTCAGGGGTGAATGCTCAGTCCCCTCCTGTACTCCCTATTCACTCATGACTGCATGGCCAGGCATGACTCCAACACCCTCATTAAGTTTGCCCGATGACACAACAGTGGTAGGCCTGATCACTGACAACAATGAGACAGCCTATAGGGAGGAGGTCAGAGACCTGGCCATGTGGTGCCAGGACAACAACCTCTCCCCCAGCTGCCCTGGGTGCCTCTGCTGAACCTGCAGCTGTTGTGTGCAGTGATCATGTGCCTAGGAACCAGATTTATACTGTTAGCACTGAGCCGGTGTGCCCGAGGAGGCAGTCCACTGTGTGCAGCTCACCCTGCACTAACATAAAGAACATGAGCACATCTACTGCTGCTAAGCTTCCCACTAAAGCAATAAAAACAAGTAAGCATCCCAGAAGAAAAGTCCTACAAATAGCCCCACATTAACATATGTAGCTTAAGAAACAAGGTTCATGAAATCAATAATTTGCTAGTAACAGATGACATTCATATTCTGACAATGTCTGAAACTCACTTAGATAATACCTTCGATGATACAGTGGTAGCAATACAAGGTTATAACATTTACAGAAAATATAGAAATGCCAATGGTGGAGATGTTGCTGTTTATATTCAGAACCACATTCCTGTGAAGATTAGAGAGGATCTCATGTTAAATATTGTTGAAGTAATATGGCTACAGGTTAATCTGCCTCACCTAAAGCCAATTCTGGTGGGAAGCTGCTACAGACCACCAAGTGCTAACAGTCAGTATCTAGATTACATTTGTGAAATGCTTGATAATGTATGTGATATCAATAGAGAGGTATACTTTCTGGGTGATTTAAATATTGACTGGCTTTCATCGGGCTGCCCACTCAAGAGAAAGCTTCAAACTGTAACCAGTGCCTGCAACCTGGTTCAGGTTATCAGTCAACCTACCAGGGTGGTTACAAACAGTACAGGAATTAAATCATCAACATGTATTGATCATATCTTTACTAATGTTGCAGAGATTTGTTTGAAAGCAGTATCCAAATCCATTGGATGTAGTGATCACAATATTGTAGCCATATCTAGGAAAACCAAAGTTCCAAAGGCTGGGCCTAATATTGTGTATAAGAGGTCATACAATAAGTTTTGTAGTGATTCCTATGTTGTTGATAATAATATTTGTTGGTCCATGGTGTGTAATGAGGAGCAAACAGACACTGCACTTGACACATTTATGAAATTGCTTATTCCAGTTACTAATAAGCATGCACCCATTAAGAAAATGACTATTAAAACTGTTAAATCCCCGTGGATTGATGAGGAATTGAAAAATGATATGGTTGAGCGGGATGAGGCAAAAGGAATGGCAAATAAGTCTGGCAGCACAACCGATTGGCAAACGTATTGCAAATTGAGAGATTATGTCACTAAACTGAATAAAAAGAAGAAGAAACAACACTATGAAACAAGGATAAATTACATAAAGATTGATAGTAAAAAGCTTTGGAGCACCTTAAATTAAATTTAGGGAAAAAAGGCAAACTCAGCTCCATCATTCATTTAATCACATGGCTCATTCATCACAAAACCAACTGATATTGGCAACTACTTTAATACTTTTTTCATTGGCAAGATTAGCAAACCTAGGCATGACATGCCAGCAACAATTGCTGACACTACACATCCAAGTATATCTGACCAAATTATGAAAGACAAGCATTGTAATTTTGAATTCCGTAAAGTGAGTGTGGAAGAGGTGAACAAATTATTGTTGTCTATTAACAATGACAAGCCACCGGGGTCTGACAATTTGGATGGAAAATTGCTGAGGATAATAACGGACGATATTGCCACTCCTATTCCCCATATTTTCAATTTAAGCCTACTAGAATGTGTGTGCCCCCAGGCTTGAAGGGAAGCAAAAGTCATTCCGCTACCTAAGAATAGTAAAGCCCCCTTTACTGGCTCAAATAGCCGACCAATTAGCCTGTTACCAACCCTTAGTAAACTATTGGAAAAATGGTGTTTGACCAGATACAATATTATTTTACTATAAACAAATTGACAACAAACGTTCAGCATGCTTATAGAGAAGGACATTCAACAAGCACATCACTTACACAAATGACTGATGATTGGCTAAGAGAAATTGATGATAAAAAGATTGTGGGGGCTGTTTTGTTAGACTTCAGTGCGGCTTTTGACATTATCGATCATGGTCTGCTGCTGGAAAAACGTATGTGTTATGGCTTTACACCCCCTGCTATAATGTGGATAAAGAGTTACTTGTCTAACAGAACACAGAGGGTGT